CCGACGGGGCTACACCCAAGGGAACAGGGACGGTAGTTTTCATACATCGTCGCATACTTATGCAAATTCAATGAATAGCGGCGCGCACCGGGGCAGCCGGTGCGATCATGCGTTTTGTGCGATTCCGTTCACCGTACAATTGCCTGCTAGTGATCTTCACTGCTTTGCACTTTGGTCTGTGCAAAAATAGTTAAAATGTTGTCTGGTTCTTAAGTTGCGGAATTTCCCACTAAAAATTTCACGCACACGAAATAATTTCTCTATCAGAACTTTCACGGGGATGTATGTGGTACCCAGGGGTGTGTAAAGGCTGAATCCAAACTTCTGAAATCGTACGTTTGTAGAGGAGATCACCCTAAAATTTCAGATTCCCAACTTCCGCAATCCCCGAGATAATAATTTTCCCCAACCGAAACTTCCACGGGGCCGTAAGTGATACTCGGACACACGGGAAGCTGAATTTAAAATTGCAGGGCTGTTACGTGGACAGAAGAGATTACCATAAAATTTCAGCTTCCCGGTTTTTATGGTTTCCAAGATAATAGTTTCCTCGCCATAATTTTAATGGAGCCGTAGGTGATAGCCGAGAACATACGAATGCTGAATTTGAATAGGCAAGGTCGAGCGTGGGCAGAGAGTCATTATCCTAAAATTTCAGCTTCATACATTCCGCGGTTCCCGAGATAATAATTTACCCGCCAAAATTCTCACGAGTCAGTTCGTGTTACCCGCAAGCAGGAGAAAGCTGAGTTTAAATTCTGGGCTGCGTGTGGGCAGGGGACATACCCATAAAATTTCAGCTTCCTAGCTTCAGTAGTTCCCGAAACACTGATTTTACCCGAAAAATTTTTACGGAGCCGTACGTGCTACCCGCGAGTACGGGAAGGCTGAATTTAAATTTACTGCGTCACCTTTTGGCAGGGAACACTATACCAAAATTTTAGTCGCCTAGCTTTTGTGGTCCCCGAGTTGAAAATGCGGGACGAAATGTGGGACACACACACACAGACAACCCGATGACAATATGCGTTTTGTACTGCTGTTACAGAGCACAAATCGCATAAAAACGCATATTGTGACGACCCACAGTTCTCTGTCCACGCTGAGCATTTCGAATTCAATTCCTACGGACGCGTAGTCTCTAAATCCAGGAAAATGAAAATTTTAGTGGGAAAATTGCTAACTCGGGAACCAAGTAAGCAAGGATGCTGAAATCCTGGAGAGATGCTCTCCCTCCAATGTTTCAGATTCTCTCCAATCTCTCCAAACTCGATGTCCCCTCCAATCTCTCGAAGATGTAAAAGTTTCAAATTCACTTCTTAAGCACGCCTGATTCTCGTGCACGGACACGTGAAATTTCGATGGGAAATTGTTAACTCGGAGGTCAGAACACTAGGTCATTTTCAATGAACGAAACGGAAGTTTGTTGTTTCCCTTTATGCAAAATTTACAGTGATTTACGACAATGAGTGTAGAAGCTAAACGTAAAGCTGCAACCATTTATACATTTAAAGACCTGTCTGATGCTTCAAGTTTGGCACCAAAACGCACGCCACGCTCCCCTTATCTAAATTCCCCTTCTCATGATGCAGCAAAAATATCCGTTAATTCTGCTAACTATTAGGTGTTCTTTTCTAAGCCAAATACCGACGGGAGCCTTTCCACAGCTGAAAATCTGCATTCCACATCTCATAGACAAGCTCAGAAGGAACCTGCTGTGGCGTGAAACTCTGGAACATGAGCACATGAAAAGCGTAGACTTGCGTGCACTTTCTCGTATACTCCCCCAAATATGTACTTCGGCCAAATCGCTTCGATCCTTAATCCCACTCACATGTTATCCACTATTTGAGATGGTATTGCTATATCCGTAGCAGAAGTTGTAGATGTACATACCAGCAATACCACAGATGCCCGAGTTTAGATCTTGCAGAACGTTTGTTAAAATTTTGTTCCGTCCGATTTCTGTACTGCGAAGACGACGGAAGCATTTTTGCTTCATGCTGGGAAGAGATTCAAAGGGACGACTTTCAGTTGACTGCCCATCATTCGCAGATATAAAACCTCCTCAAGCAGCACTACAGTCTCAGCGCGATCAAGGCAGATTAAAAGAAGCAGTACCACTACTAACGAATCTTGTGCCAGGTCCTGAAACATTGCTACGGACCAAACTTTGAAACATCTCCAGGAACTGCAAAAAACGTTCTATGAGCTGGATCGTAGCAATATCCCGCAAGTCGAAATCGATATTTCTAAAGCGCGCACCACTCTGCACAGGCAGTGCTTACCCATCCTTAGGTGAAAAACTTCAGGACCAGTTTGCCTCGCGCACTGTCGAAATAGCATGAAATAAGCTGTTATCCGTTAATATGTTATCCTTAGTTCTTCCGCTAAATTCTACCGAAGCAAAGCTCGACAGAAAGGAAGAAAAAATTGGTTTTGTCTGCGCGAGAGGCTTAGTTCAAGTAAACAACAACAATTTATTTTGTCTCAAAAGCAAAACGCGGATGCAACAATGTGATCTTTGAAGACGACACATTTCGTGCCATTCTATTTGCTGCTTTTGCTCTGTCGCATAGCGCCCTCCGATTCGCGTCTCGAGGCTGAGGAACGTCGACGAGCAGCACGCGCCGCCTGTCTGTCCTGAAACAGTAGAATAACCATTTAGGAAAAAAATGAACCCTCTGTACATCCTGGCTCATTATGTGCTTCCAGTTCACACATACTGTCAAATGACGCTATCCCTTGCACTTTTTTAACACTTAAGCTGCCCCTCGTAGTGCATCCGGGCCTGACCTGGCTGCTATGACATCAACGGTACTCGTCGGAAAAATCTGTCAACAGACAATTTTGTTTGGAAAATTTGCAGAAAAGAACTCTGACAAATTTTTTACGTCTACATTTCTTTAAAAAAAACTCGATTTTCGAAACTTTTGAAGAATTACAAAAATTTGTTTTGCACATTTACAGTAGAAGATTATGCTAAACAAAATTCTTTACTATCCGGCCCCGAAAATCGGTGACCAGTTGATTTGTTTCTCCTCCCCCCCCCCCCCCCCCCCCCCCC